AAAGAGTGATAGACGCATGCGGTACATGCAGAAGAACGGAAACGGAAACGTAAAACGAAAATTCAATTGATTTATGAGAGACCTACGGGGGAAACTCAGAAAACATATGCTCAAACACAACTGACCGAGCGATACTGGACCATGGGGGAATCGAACCCCCGACCGACCCTGACCGACCGTACTGCATTTGCTTAGTGGGATACTGACTGGGGAGAAAAGATTTTTTTCCCAAAAAAGCATCACTTTTTCCTTTTTGATTTTCCCAAAATAGTAGTAAAATTTCGACCGCCGCACAGGGGGCTCAGGAAGCACAGGCTTAGTTTATATTTGCGCAGACTAAATTTGTATTCGCTAATTTTCCCAAAAAAGTAGCAAATTTTTGGGAAAATTGGCATCGAGAAACTGCGCGCACGCGCTCTGGGTTAGGCTAGATCGTAATATTAATAGTAATAACAACAACAACAACAATAACTAGAATAACAATAACCAAAACAACAACAACCAAAACAACAACAACCAGAACAACAACAACCAGAACAACAACAACCAGAACAACAACAACCAAAACAACAACAACCAGAATAACAACAACCAAAACAACAACAACCAGAATAACAACAACAACAGCAACAACAATAAATCCATGAGAAACCTACCGAGCGACAGTGGACGCAAAACCAAAGTTCCCAGAAAACCCTTTTTCGAATGGAACTGAAAGACCGACCGAGCGACAGTGGGGCCGAAAGTGCACTCAAAAGAGTAATAAACACATGCGGTACATTCAGAAGAACGGAAATGTAAAACGAAAATGCAATTGATGCAGGAGAGATTGTCCGAGCGACGGTGGGGCCGAAAGTGGACTCAAAAGAGTGATGGATACATGCGGTTTATACAGAAGAGCTCAACTGATCTATAAGGGACCTACGGGGGAAACTCAGAAGACATGCTCAAACACAACTGACCGAGCGATACTGAACCATGGGGGAATCGAACCCCCGACCGACCCTGACCGACCGTACTGCATTTGCTTAGTGGGACACTGACTGGAAAGAAGAAAATGTTTTTCCAAAAAAATATCACATTTTTGGGAAAATCAAAAATAATTTTCCCAAAATAGGAGTAAAATTTCGACTTCCGCGCAGGGGGCTTAGGAAGCACAGACTTAGTTTGTATTCGCGCAGACTAAGTTTGTATTTGCCAATTTTCCTAAAAAAGTAGCAAATTTTTGGGAAAATTGGCCTCGAGAAACTGTGCGAACGCGCTCTGGGTCAGGCTAGATCGTAATATTAGTAATAATATATATATTTTAATTTATAAAAATATTGAATATTTAAATATATATATATTAACATAAAATTATAATATTATATTTTATTATATTATATTTTATAATATTATATTAATATAGTTACGAAAATTAGGTTAGGCTAGGCAAAATTCTTTTTGCGAACAAAATAAATTATAGGGGATTTGGATATAAAACATACTAAGGAATTATAAAATTACCCAATTGGAATTTTTTGAGGATTATGTATTAAATATTAATTAGATAATTATGAGGTATTAATTTTCCTTTGATCCGTTTTTCGAAATATATTTAGAAAAATTAAAATACTTATTTTACTTCGTGTGATCCCCACCATGATATGTTAGGACATGTCAGGACGTATATTTGGACAAATTTTGAATATATTCTGACATTCTAGCTGACATATATTCTGGTATTCTATTTGACATATATTCTGATATTTCACCTGATATTTTATCTGGCATTCTATCTGGCATTTTATCTGGTATTCTATCTGACATTCTATCTAGCATTTTATCTGACGTTCTATCTGGCATTCTATCTGACATATGTTCTGACATTCTATCTCGCATTCTATCTGACATTTTATCTGGCATTTTATTTGTCATTCTATCTGGCATTCTATTTGTTATTTTTTCTGGCATTTTATCTGGCATTCTATCTGGCATTTTTTCTGGCATTCTTTCTGGCATTCTATCTGGCATTCTATCTGGCATCCTATCTGACATTCTATCTGGCATTCTATCTGGCATTCTTTCTGGCATTCTTTCTGGCATTCTATCTGACATGCTATCTGGCATTCTATCTGGCATTTTATTTGGCATTCTTTCTGGCATTCTATCTGGCATTCTATCTGGCATTCTATCTGGTATTCTATCTGACATTTTATCTGGCATTCTTTCTGGCATTCTATCTGGCATTCTATCTGGCATTTTATCTGGCATTCTATCTGGCATTCTATCTGGCATTTTATCTGGCATTCTTTCTGGCATTCTATCTGACATTCTTTCTGACATTCTTTCTGACATTCTATGGTCGTGGTTGAGGTCCGGCAGGGAACACTGGGCGTGGATGGTCGTGGTTGAGGTCCGGCAGGGAACACTGGGCGTGGATGGTCGTGGTTGAGGTCCGGCAGGGAACACTGGGCGTGGATGGTCGTGGTTGAGGTACGGCAGGGAACACTGGGCGTGG